GGTTAAAAGGAATCCATGTTTAAAATGGAATGAGGCAAAAATGTGATTCTTTGTTATACTAACTTGCATATGTCCACCCAGAATCCTTTATGGTTGTAACATCGCTGCAGTTTTGGGATTTCTGTGGGAAAAGCAAGTCTTATGGCTTGCCTGGTGTGCAAATTTTTGTTTAACATTGTATTAATTATCCACAGACTTCAGGTGGAAGGGGTTTTCAATCACAATTTTTCCCCACCATAACATATTTGGATTTTGCTTCCCAAGCACTACCAAGCCTCAATAAGCAAACCAGAAACCAACCTCATGCTGATGAATTGCATTAACAACGAAACAGCTGTCCATGAGTGGTTCACTGGTTTTGCATCTTTTCCTATATTGTGTTTCAAGCTGTTGTATACAGCAAACACAGATTAACCCCTTAAGGACCGGCCTGTTTTTGCGATGTTGTACGTTAAGGACCAGAGCAGTTTTGACACTTTTGTGGTGTTTGTGTTTAGCTGTAATTTTCCTCTCTCTCATTTACGGTTCCCATACAAGTTATATATTGTTTTTTTCAGGACAAGAAGGGCTTTCTTTATATTCCATTATTTGTATCATGTCATATATTTTATTTAAAAAAATAAAAAAATATGTTGAAAAATTGAAAAAAAAAGGTTTTTGGACTTTTAATTGAAAAATCTTTTACTTATCTACAAAAGCTAATGAAAAAAACTGCTAAATAGATTCAAAATGTTGTACCAAGTTTAAAAACACCCAGTGTTTACATGCTTTATTGCTTTTTTTTGCAAGTTATAGGCCTATAAATACAAGTAGGAAATTGCTGTTTATCCATAGTGACATTGTCATAAATCCCCGAATCACACCTCACATGTACATATTTTTTTAAAGTAGACAACTCAGGGTATTCAAAATGGGGTATGTCCAGTCTTTTTTAGTAGCAACCTAGTCACAAACACTGGCCAAAGTTAGAATTTATATTTGTTTGTGTGTTAAAAATGCAAAAAATGCTAACTTTGGCCAGTGTTTGTGACTAAGTGGCTACTAAAAAAGGCGGAACATACCCCATTTGCAATACCTTGGGTTATCTTCTTTTGCAAATGGTATGCCATCATGGGGCTAATTCTCATTCCTGGGCTACCATACACTCTCAAATGTAACCTAACCAATCTGACAAATTTCAAAAAAAAAAAAAAAAAGTTAAATCAAGCCTTATATTTGACCCTGTAGCTTTCACAAACACTATAAAACCTCTACATGTGGGATACTGTTATACTCAGGAGACTTCACTGAACACAAATATTAGTGTATCAGAACAGTAAAATGTATCACAGCAATAATATCATCAGTGAAAGTGCCATTTGTGTGTGAAAGATTTAAAAAACGTCACTTTTACTGATATTTTTGTTCAGTGAAGTCTCCCGAGTAAAACAGTTCCCCTCCTGTACAGGTTTTAGGGTGTCATAGAAAGTTACAGGGTAAAATACAGTGCTAGCAAATTTAATTCTCTGGACTTTCGGCCTGGGTTGGCAGGCAGGTCCCTCAAATTGCAATCATTAAAATTACTTAATTAGATAAAAATATTACATAAATACGCACGTAGAATTTTAATATATAATATATTTGACGTCTCCGTGTATATTTATGAAATTATTTATGTAATTATGTATTTGGACATATGTATATTTCGTATTATTTTTATTTATTTATTTATACATAGATATATATATCATTACATTCTAAGTGTATTTTGATATAAATATATATATATATATATATGTATATATATATATATATATATATATATTAATATCAAAACACTGTTAGAATAAAATTACATATATATATATAATTTTTTTAACTATTAAAAATTATTTTTACTTTTTGTTATTTATTTTTATTAACATATTATTTATAATTTATAATATATATATATATATATATATATATATATACAATATATAGCTATTATATATATTGTATATATGCGTGTTTAATTTAAATTAAAAGTGTATTTTTATATTAACCGTCATCGGTCATCAAGAGGTTAAAAGGAATCCATGTTTACAATGGAATGAGGCAAAAATGTGATTCTTTGTTAAACTAATTTGCACATGCCCACCCAGAATCCTTTGCGGTTGTAACATCACTGCAGTTTTGGGATTTCTGTGGGAAAAGCAAGTCTTATGGCTTGACTGGTGTGCAGATTTTTGTTTAACATTGTATTAATTATATATATAAATAAATAAAAAAATACTACGATATATATATATATATATATATCTCCATATACATAATTACATAAATAATTTCATAAATATACACATAGACTTCAAATATATAAATATGTATATATATTTAAACTCTATGTGCATATTTATGTAATATTTTTACATAATTAATTAATTTTATTAATTACAATTTGCAGGACCTGCCTGACAACCCAGGCCGAAAGTCCAAAGAATTTAATTTGCAAGCACTGTATTTAACCCTGCAACTTTCCATGACACCTAAAACCTGTACATGGGGGTACTGTTTTATTGGGAGACTTCGCTGAACACAAATATTTGTGTTTCACACATATCACAGCGATGATATTGTCAGAGAAAGAGTATAACAGTACCCCCCATGCACAGGTTTTATAGTGTTTTTGAAAGTTACAGGGTCAAATATAAAGCTTGATTTTACTTTTTTCACATTGAAATTTGCCTGATTGGTTATGTTGCCTTTGAGAGCGTATGGTAGCCCAGGAATGAGAATTAACCTCGTGATGGCATACCATTTGAAAAAGAATACAACCCAAAGTATTGCAAATGTGGTATGTTCAGTCTTTTTTAGTAGCCACTTAGTCACAAACACTGGCCAAATTTAGCATACATAATTGCTTTTTGCATTTTTAACACCCAAACAAATATAAATGCTGACCTTGGCCAGTGTTAGTGACTAAGTGACTACTAAAAAGGACTGGACATACCCCATAATGAATACCCTGGGTTGTCTACTTTAAAAAAAAATATGAACATGTGAGTTGTGATTCAGAGATTTATGACAGATAACAGTGGTACAATGTCACTATTGATAAATTTGATAAGTTTTAAAAATATGTTTTTTGAAACAGCAATGTCCTACTTGTACTTACAGCCCTGTAACTTGCAAAAACAGCTAAGAACATGTTAACATTGGGTATTTCTAAACTCAGGACAAAATTTTAGAAACTATTTAGCACGGATGTTTTTTGGCGGTTGTAGATGCGTAACAGATTTTGGGAGTCAAAATTAGAAAAAGTGTGTTTTTTTTTTTTTTTATTTATAATTCTTTATTTTTGTTGCGCATTTGTTTAACATAGTCGCTTGAGATGCCACAACAGCTGTCTCAGGCTTCAAACAGAAAACATGAATAAACATTTGGCATTGAAATACTTTGCACAATTTTAAATTAGGAAAGTAAGTTCCCACGTTACATCCTTCTAATTAGAATTATCGCTAGATCGCCATAGTCTCCTGTTTGGAGGAAGAAAGTGTATGGATATAGTGTAATCTGTACATCCAGTATGTGTGTAGGGTTCTGAGTAGCTATTCCTCCTCCCATGTTAGTGATTTGAAATATGTACTATGGCGATAAATAATTTTGCCCCACTCCTTGTTAGTGTGGCTCAGTTTGGGGGTCCCAGGTTCTGGCTCGCTTGGTGTGGGTGTACTTAATGTCAACCCTGGGTCTTCCCATGTGTTTAAGTGGTATTCGTGCGGTATCAAGTGGTTAGTGGCCCCTAACCAGGGAGGCCGCGGGGGGGCGGAATATACCAGCGGCCTATAGTTGGCCCTAACCTAAGAGTGTTTTGCCGTGTAGTGTGCTACTCGTCGTGGCTATAGCGGTGTGCCGTATTTTGCCATTACGTGGATTATATAATCCTGGGAAACATAGTGTGCCTTACAGTGGTGCCTAGGTGCCAAGCCTTAAACAATTGAGAAAAATCAAGTCGAAAACCAGTGAAAGTCAAATTATAGCGAAACAATAATTATAGCGGTAGAGGCTTCGTAGTTGAAGCGCGTTTATGGGTTGAGAGACAGTCAGTGGTGTCAGGTGGTTGCCTCAGGGGCTCCTCTTCCCCTCGGTAGAAAAGGGACAGTCCTGTTGGGGTCCCACATATGGGAGCTGGCGGGTACTTCTGTGTGGTCAGATCCTTGTGGTAGTCCCAGTGCCCTAATGAAAGAGTCCACCTCCTGAGTGGAGTTGAGGTGTAGAGTGGTGCCGTTGTGGTCCACCGATAATGTTTTTGGTGCAGTCCAGCGGTATACTAACTTGGCGTCTTGGAGGCGGCGGGTCATAGGGCGCAGGGTTCTTCTCCATTGGAGTGTGGATCGGGTCAGGTCCTGATAGAAGGTAAGACTCGCGGTTTCAAAGTCCAATGGTGTTTTGCCTTTTAGGGCAGCGAAGATGGCATTTCTGTCTGTTTGGGTATGGCACCGTACGATCACATCTTTGGTTGCTTGGGGGGGTGCCTGTGGCGATTTCCGGATGCGAAATATCCCTGCTATATTTAATTTTTTGGCCTGTGCGTGTGGCATTATGGTGGCGGCCAGACGTCTAAAGTAGTGTGGTAGTTCCGCCTGACTTATTTCTTCAGGGATACCCCTGATTTTCACATTGCTCTTACGGCTTCTCTCTTCTGCTGCATCCAGCTTGTTGATCAGGGTTGTGTGTGATGCTTTTAGTTGGTGCACTGTTTCTTTTAGGCTTCTCATTTCGTTTTGAACATCTATAATGTCTTCTTCAGTGGTCTTCACTCGGTCTGTGACCGCCTGCACCTCCGTATTCATTAAAGCCATGTCTGCTGCGGACATTTGTTTCAGCTCCATGAGGAGGTTTTTAATGTCTAATTTTGTGGCAGGTGTCAGTGCATCAGGGTCAGTTTGGGCTGAGTGATGTTCTAGGGTGTCCCCCAGGGCAAGTTCCGAGCACGTGGAGCCTGTGTCTGGGTCGGGTGTGGCCGCCATTTTCGGTGCCGCTGTGCGCTGGAGCATGGTGCTAATGTCTTGGGTATCTTTGCACGCACCTGTAGCTATCCGCTGGGATTTTCGTCCCATGTTTATCGGGTCGGTGTCTGTGTGCTCCGTGGGCGGTATGGCAGTGGAGAAGACCGCGTTGTGGAGCGCCGTCTCAAAGGCCCTGTAGTCTGGATAGGCCTTGGATGTGCGGCGTACTTTCCGTCCCGTCTGGCGGTATAAAAAGGGCATCGATCAGGTGAGTGCTTTGCCCCTCTGTCCTGGCCGTCGGTTGATAGGATTATAAGGGCTGTGAGAGGTTTGTTTGTCGGTAATTAGCCGCGTTTTTGCCGGAGCTCGCTACACATGCGACCGCTCCGTTCCGTGGTTAAGCTCCGCCCCCTCAGAAAAAGTGTGTTTTTAAAAAAGAAATTCATCATATTTTAGATTTTTTTCATAGTAAATTATATGATATGATGAAAATAATAGTATCTTTAGACAGACAATTTAATGGCGAGAAAAACAGTATATATTATGTGTGGGTACAGTAAATGAGTAAGAGGAAAATTACAGCTAAAAACAAACACAGCAGAAATGTAAGAAAAATTAAAAACGGTCTGGTCACTAAGGGATTAAATAGACTCTTCTAAGCATTGCAAGCTACATACATTGGTATGTATTGGCATTTCTGAAGGATATATTATGCCAGTATCCTATTCATCATCAATTTTCACATTATTTTCTGCTATTGCAAATAAAAAAAATAAATTCTTCTGCCTATCTATTTTTTTTTATTTCACTAGATGTGTGACCCTACAGATGTTAACCCAAAAGTGATAATATTTTATTCAACTGACTGTAATTGCAGCATCACTTTCTTAACAGGTTTTCATTATGTTTTTTAAAAAAAACGGCTTTTCACTTAATGTTTGTAATGTATGTTTTATCAGAAAGAGATGCCGGTATTTCACACCATTTTTCATTATGTCCATTTAATGTTGTTGTTTAGAGTATTGTAAAATTGCATTCTTTTTTGATACAGGTCTGTCTTTAAAATGTTATCTAATGTCACATTGCATTTACAAAAGAGCTGTATTTTACAGACTTGCCGAAGAATCCACAATAGGAAACCTATCATTTTATATAGAAGAGCCTCGCTGCCTACTAATAGCTCTGACATGTAATGGATAAAAAGTAGAAAGATGTCCAGGCATTCTGCAGATAAGTAGAAAATGATGGCTATTCTATTACCCAACTGGTTGTCAGCAAAACCAGCACTTGATTTTCATAAAATGTCACAGCTGTCACATTACATAATGTGACAAAATGTAATCAAATGTGACAGCAGTCAAGAACTTTCAGTCCCATTGATACAATTTCACTAACGCTTCCTAATTTTATGGCAGGACAGGAGGCTTCATATTTGCTTTACCTTCTTTACTGAAACCTCCAGCAGCAAAGAAACAGTTAACAGAACTTTTCAAAACAACCAATCAGAACAAAGCAACAATAGTATAAAACCCCTAAGCGGGCTCTTCCACTTCCTCTTTCTTTGCTGCTGCCTCCAGGTGAGCACTCACCAACTCAGAGTTGTCTCTGCTCTTGGTTGTTTTTTTATCCTACATGCTGCTTGTTTGTTTTGACAGTCTATTTGGTCAGTCTATTTGCTAGGTTTGTTTAGGCATCTTAATTGCTGGTTTTATTTAGGCAGGGTTCTTGCTGGATTTGTTTTAACAGTTTGTCTGCTGTGTTTAGCTAGGCAGTCTATTGCTGGGTTTAGCTAGGCACTCTATTGCTGTGTTTATCTAGGCAGTCTATTGCTGGGTTTAGCTAGGCAGTCTATTGCTGTGTTTATCTAGGCAGTCTGTTGCTGGGTTTAGCTAGGCAGTTTATTCTGTGTTATTTCCTATACCACTTCATTCTATGTAGCTGCTGTATCACTTGTTAACATCTGTTGCTGTATTGAGGCTATTTATCTGATAGATTCTGTATACTGCCAATTAATTTATTGTTATTCTGGGTTACTTTATGCAGTTTTTCTAACTCTGCTGTATGGGGAATGGGTGTCCCAATGCCTGTAATCTGTTTCCCCTCCCCGGGTTCCCCTGCTAGGCTCTGTTGCCCATACCCTTCTCCCTTATTCTCCACCTGCTCCCCGCGGCCCCTGGCCATTTACTGAGCAGCTTTTTCAACCATGGCAGTGCCGCGTGATCACCACACGGTAGGCCGCGCTCGGTTTTTGCAGCCGCGGCAGCCATTTTGTTGGAGCCGCGGTGGCCATATTTTGGAGCCACATGGGCTCCGTGCGTTGCGAACAGCCCGGTCTCACCCACTGAACTGCCCTGCTGGCCATGTGGCCACCCTCCCCTCTCCCTATATCAGGGGAGATAGCCCAGTTTTTCGGCTTTCCCTCTACTTACTGTGCCTGTCTCACATGCTGCATATGTAACAGATCCTGGATAGTAGGATCTGTCCCAGGCACGCTCACAACTGCAGCTTACTATGATGTCTGATGCAATGTAACTAGGTTCTCTATCTTAGCAGTAGACTTGTCACACTTTTTTACTAATTAAATGTGAATCTCAGATTTAAAGGGGCATGTTACTGCTCAAATAAAAAATCATTTTTTACTAAATCATTGTTTAACAAGACTATGCCACATGTGTTATATGCTAATCAAGTCGTTCTCTTACTAGGATTTGCTGCCCTTCCTGCAAGGGACTTAAAATTTTCCACTACACATACACTTCATAAGTGTATCCTAATATAATACCTTAGTGGTCTGCGAGTCAGCTTCTCACTGTATGGACCCTTCTACCCCTCAGGGGGACTAACTGGCCCCACATACCATCCATATTTCTGGGTCTCTATCCGCTACTGGAACATAATAATGGACGTGTGACACCATTGTGGGCTGGGTGACCCCTCCCTCTGGCAACATGACTACCAATGAGTACCCTGCTGGCTCTATGGCATCCTGTAGGATTAATGCTGAGGGTGACCCCCTCCTGCCTCCTATACTAATGCTCCGGCAATGTCCTGTTATTATCATACCGAGGGGAACCCCTCCTACAGTCTGCACTGCTGGACCTGCAGTGTCCGGGTATTCCCATAAAAGAGGGTACCCCTCCCACTGATTGAGCTTCTGTTCTTACAGTGCCCTGATATACGCAGATACTGAGGGTGACCCCCTCCTGTGGACTACTCTGCTGGACCTACAGGGTCCCGTTATAACCATAATGAGGGTGACCCCCTCTCGCTGAATACACAACTGGGTGTACAGACCTCTATGATACCACACTGAGGGTGACCCCCTCTTACCTACAGCACTGCTGGATCTTCAATGTCCGGTTATGGTTATATGAGGGTGACCCCCTCCTGCCGTCTGCACTGATGGACCGGCAATGTCTGGTTACTTTATTATACGACTAACCACTACGGCACTACTGTACCTACAGTGTCCGATTATGTTCAGACTGAGGGTGACCCCCTCCCCTGCTGGCCTATACTGCATGGTATGCTTGTGCTTGTTGGGTGACCCCCTCTTGCACGCTGGGTGACCCCCAGCTGGCCGCACCAGGTATCGCTCCAACAGTATTACCTCTATGGCAGTTTTGCATTCACGACTGAAGGACAAATCTCCCGTACCCAGAAGGTCACTTGGCCTGTCCTCATGCCGCCCCGCTGACCTCACTGAAACCATCGGTACCCTACAGGGGACACTCCACCGGCCATCCTAGACGCTACACCAAGCACCCCTGGTACTCGTTGGCTAACGGATGAATTCATCAAGAGGATCAGTCTTCATGATGGAGTCCGGAAAGGACACCGCAAACACCTGACACGGGGTTTGCACTCTATCTGGGACTAACCACTGGATGTCGATGACACACGGACACAGATGTTTCCTCGGGACGAACGGCGCGTTACAGCTTGGAAAGCGGAGAAAACTAAATTCCCACTGGGAATGGACCGATATGACTTATAGGTATCGCCTAGTTGGTTTCTACCTCTGAGAACCACAAAACGGCCCCTGTCCAAGCTGGACATCAAACTGACGGATTTGGCATCCAAGTGCTGGGTCTGCTCTCCGGAGTTACCCTCACGTACAAATTGAACTGACACGTCTCTATTCATAGGGTTCCCCCTTAACTAGCCCCAGAGGTCTCTCGGACCGTGTCCAGACTCCGGAACAAGGTTGCGGAATCTTGGACAGTTGCATGAGCGATACGCATGACCAAAAGAGGCGTCCATTCCGACTCATTCCGCAGTTGCCCTGCTGGGCGAATGGTGCGTGGAGTGGACTCCCGCCCCATCCTCACGCTACATGCTCCCATTGCATATGTCGTCTGTTGACACTTCGAGACGGAGGGCACTCATCCCCTCAGAGAGCTGCTCGGCATGGACGATTGGTTCTCTCCCTCAAATGCACATGAGAGAAACCCGCATGGACTTTGCCATCAACATGGACATATTGAATCTGACTCCCAGTCAACCCAGTTTCTGGTCTTTAATGGAATATTCGGTCCAGGCAGTGATCTGCCTCCCGAGGACCAAGATGTCCGTCTTCAAAGAAAATACCAGGCATATGCTCCACAACCCGCGGGTCACACTTAGGGGCCCAACCCGGTCAATTGACCAGTTGCTATTCGCCATGGAAGCCATACCTCCAGGATCCAGTACTATCAGCCGCTCCAACATGACGCTTTCCCGGGTCTTCGGCCTGGTATGACCGAATCATGTGACCTTCGGATGAAGCTCATCTAAAACTTAATTGATGACTCCGACATGGGGGAACCTCGGACCCCAACCAACTTCGGCCTGGACTCTGGAGTCCTGAGGAGGGACCTCTTTATGCCAACTGCACGGAAACCTGCAGGTTTGTTCAACATTTGCAGTATTGCTCGCTACCTTCCAGCATGGACTTATCACCGGTTGCCCACTACGGACTGCAGTTGGATCTCATGTAGGATCGCTATCTATAGCTTCTGGACAAATATTCGTCATTTGTGACAGAATGTCTGCGGGACGAGACACTCATGTGGCGGACAGCTTCACCCGACCAGGGAGAGACCCCAATGATTGGTTGCTTCACCCTCCGGGGTCTCGAGTATTGGCATGATTACATTCGGTGCGAACCGCCAGGGATTATTCTAGCCTCGGTGAGGAAATAATCTAAATTTTATTAAAGACAGGAGGCGAATATTTCCCCCCCTTTTTTTACGTTCCCT